CTCTGCCCCACCGCTTGATCGGGGGCGACGATATGGTAACGCCCTCGGTGCTCCACTGCTACTGGCACCTGTACGGATCGGGCCTCCTCTAGCATAGCTCTGTCTCCTCTGAGAGTCATCAATGTCTCTCTCCACCAATGCCGCTCTGTCAACCAAATCTCTGTAGTCTCGGATTCTAAGTGCCACAAGCTTCTCTCTGATGGTCGGTCTCAAACCCTGCTCGAAGCGCTTGGCCCTCCTATCCTCGGTGGATATGAACTCTGAAGCATAACGGGATAGCTCATCGAAACTCCTCTCATACTCAGCCACGGTCATACTGCCCTGCCGCAAGGCTAGAAAGTCTGCACTCATCTTATCTCTGACAGACTCTGGAAAATACTTGTCGTTGAAGCTTTGCTCAAACTCCTCCCAAGTGAGCGTATTAGTGTCCCTCCTTTTCTTCACTGACTCCCACCAGTAATCGGCCTCCCCTTCCAACAAATAGGTAGCCAAGCCAACCCGAAGGTCCCCGGCGATCCCCATACCATCACAAATTTTTTTCACCCGGCGGATCCATCTATCCGCATCTAAGGGATTGGAGCTCCCTTGGAAGGTGGGTGGGTGTTGCCGTAGAAATTCTCGAAGAGCCACCATCCTTCGGTTTCATCGCCGTTGCCCGGTACTTGGACTAAAGGACGAACTCCACCGTTGTGGTGGTTGTTCCCACCTGGTTGTTGCACTAGGGTGGTGAGTTCCCTTAAACATTGGTAAATACCCTGTATGGCGTCGAGAGGTGGTGGAGGTGGTGGATTTGCTTGACCACCACGCCCACGACCACGCCCACGTCCACATCCACGTACCCGTTCACCGTCCATCCTGCATATCAATTCACAATTTAGTTTCATTGATGTACAAGACATCCTAAATATCACTTTAATCTGCAGCATAAGGTTCATATAAAATTAGACCAATAATTTCCTTCAACTTAATCCTACTTCCCGAGTGGTAATCCATAACCTACAGCTCCTATGTAAGACCTAAAGCCTAGGCTCTGATACCAAATCTGTAACGCCCCAAAAACCCCCTTGGATGACATTACATTCTAAAAACCATTCACCGCATGAGAGCATTAAGTAAATCCATCACGATAAAAGTTTCATTCATCCACCATTCATATTTTAAGAAAATTTGGGCAGAGTCTCCTCTGTTCGGGAAGCTCTACCCAAAACACAACCTGTGCAATTCTACTGTAATGACCACACCGGGTTCATTTAACTACCATAAAATCAATCCATCCAATTTACATGTTATTCCAAAAGAATAGGCCAAGTTATGGCCTTTACATTCCCACAAAAGTACTATAATACACAACGAAATTTATAAAATAAAAACTAGACTATACAATTCTCCCAAAAGATTATCCAAGTCTATAACAAAAGAAAGGGGGGTCGCTCTAAGCATCCACCTCGGGATCCACGCTCCCTTCTATCGGAGTCTCCAAATATGTCGGCCCTCGACTCCCAGCTCCTCGTCAAAGGCAAAATCTGAAAGGTGGGGAAGTAGGGGGGTGAGCACAAGGCTCTGTAGAAGGATCCTTCCAAACCCATTCAAGGTTTTGAAATCTAGTAAAACAGGTAGGTCACGTTTCGCACATACATATAAATGAATTTTAAAGTAAAGTAAGGACATTTTAAAGGAGATCTCAAGTTTGTACAATAATAAGGACTTGAACGAGAATAAAACCACGTTTAATTGACAAACAATTTCCAACATAATCCACTCCACCATACACCATTTCCACAAGGTATCGCGGCATCCCAAACTACCCGAAACTCTTGGAAAAATAATATTTGGTACAATGAACAAAAATTTCTATTTGGTACCACTCAAGTAGGTTGTCGCTTCTCATGAATCTACCCGACGATTCTACCTCGTTCACCCATTTCCACTAACAATCACAGACCAATTTAGGAAGGGCATGTACCGTCTCATACGGCCTTGACGAGATCATTCCAAGGTGTCTAGTATACTAACCCTTTTCCCCGGTATCCGTGAACAATAGTGGTCACTGTCACCACAGTGATCCACTACGAGCATTAGGCAACCATCTCACCCCCCATTGGGATAGACTAACCTCTAATGCTCTACGGCAGTTTTCGAAGGTAATCCAAGTCCCTCACAACACCATACACAAGAGTGACATACCAACAATATACTCAACCTCATATACAAGCAAATTCCATGATGTTTCCCCAAATTTTCACAAGCAAGATACATAATAGAACAATTTAAGAAAATATACCCATTTCGCAAATCATATAACAAGAGACAATTTTAAAGGAAATAAGCATGAGATCATCAATACAATCATTTTACTACCCAACACAAAGTTCTAGAATTTTCGAAATCAAGATGATGTGAAGATATAGAGAAAAACCCATATTTCCCCCAAAAACTAGAGTTTGATGGATTTTCAACCATCATTTTGTTCAAATCATGGGAATGTTTGTAAACATACCAAGGAACAATAAACCCATAACAAATACATACTATTAAGAGCCAAATTCTACATGTATAATAACCCTAACATCAATGGACAAGGATGGAAGAAAACCCTACTTCAATGTTCTTAAAAACCTAGGTTTAGTGTGAAGAAGATGAAGATTTGATCTTCTTTGAACTATAGATCTCCTCTTGATATTGTGTTTTATCCTTCTCTCTTCCTCTAGAGTCCTAAGAGAAGTGGGTTGAGAGTGGAATGAGAGAAATGAGAGTGAAGGCTGAAATCTGTGTTTTTAAACACAGAAATCCTGATTTTTTTTTCTTTTACTGTTCATGGGCTGCTTCGATAGTACTTCGTTATCGGGGCATAACTCTCTCATCCGAGCTCCGATTGAGATGCTTCAAGATGATATGGAAAGCTAATAAGGAACTCTACAACTTTCATGTTTTGAGTTTTAAGAGATATTGACTACATCAAGGTCTAAATTGGGCTTGAAGTTGCAGCCAGTGCACAGTTCACGTGCACTGTTCACTATTTCATCCCTTTTTCCATGGCATAACTCTCTCATCCGAGCTCCGATTGAGATGATTCAAGATGATATGGAAAGCTAAGAAAGAACTCTACAACTTTCATGTTTTGAGTTTTAAGAGATATTGAATACATCAAGGTCTAAATTGGGCTTGAAGTTGCAGCCAGTGCATAGTTCACGTGCACTGTTTACTATTTCATCCATTTTTCCATTTTCAATCTACCAAATTCAAACACACATAGCTACACCTATCCCCATTTTTAAAAAAATTATTTAATATATATCTATATGCATATATATAAAATAAAATGTGGAGTGTTACACATTGTGCCACACAGCCTCTTTTTTTCGGGGTCGTTTTCATTCCAAAATGATTAAATTTCACCCTGGTTCAAGTTCAAATTAATTTTATTTTAATTTTTCTTAAATTATTTTTAAAATTTAAAAATTTTATTAGAAATTCCGTTTTTGGGTCACTCGACTGCCTCGTAAAACGCAAAAAATTTGACTATCTCGGAATTCGATGAAATTTGACATGGTAGCTAGTTTCACGAGACAAATCCAACGATAAGGTCTGTTTTGTTATCCAAGTTTTAGAAAAATTCAGGTTTTCAACCCGTACTGTAACGACAAAATTACCATTTTGCCCTTGTTTACAAAAGTTTAAATTTACCAGGTTTTACATTGACTTTATCGATTGTAATTTTATTATAAAAAATTATTTTTTAACCATAAAATAAATTTAAAACCCTATAATTTATAACGAACAACAAAAAACATATCATAGAGGGATTTTAGGTAATATAAAAAAATAAGAAACTGAAAAATGTACCTCTTACCGAACAACTTATAAGAAAATGGAATTTATGACCTAAAAGTCGAATGAGTGTTTTGGATGTAAAAATTTTGCATGAAAAAGATTAAAACTATCTGCATGAAAAAAAAAAATTAAAAAAAAACTGCATGAAAAAATTAAAAAAATATCTGCATGAAGAAATTTTAAAAAACCTGCATAAAAAACATTTACAAATCTGCAAGAACTTTTTTTTTTACCAACTTAGTTAGTGGTCGACCACTGTAAACAACGAGTTAAAGAATAATGACTAAATTCAGTCTCCTATATCTTCCAGCAATTCCAAATCATTTTGGACATTGACAAACAACAAAAAGTGTGATGTATATAGTGGAAAAACGGTTTAGGTAATTTTAGTATATTTACATAAGTAATAATAGTTTTGATATTTTTAGAAATTTTATAGTCAAACTTAACTTTTTGTGCTGGCAAAGTTAAAAATTATCGTTAAAAGGGTGCATTTGATTTGAAAGTATAAATCAAAAAAGGGCGCATAAAGTTTCATAATCGAAAAAAGGTGTCATTAAATTAAGATCTAACCAGAGAAGACGTTGATAAAAATTTTCCATATTTTTATGCGATCTTTCCGTTGTACATTAGTTGTTTATACTTGGAGGAAAAACTTGCAGACCAAATCTCATTAAGTTTGTTTCATATTTGTGACACGGTTACAACAAAGTTTTGCAGTAACTTTTACAAGAGAGGGGTAGATTGAATTGGTAATTATCAACAACATCACGAATCCGTGAAATAGGAAAACCACTGATGATGATCTCAAAACGAAGAAAAGAACAAGATGCCCATGTCATGCTATCGAACATTTGTAGGAGAAGTCCATCAGAGTGGCAAAGTGATCAGGTCGCCAAACATAAACCTAGTGATGATGCAGGCGAACTGGAAGACCTTTTTCTGGAGTTGGCATCATATCACCGATAACCTTCTCATTGGGAATCAGTACCTCCCATTTATACTTTTTCACAACATTGTGGACGAATGTCAGTATAGCTAACCGAGCATACTCTTTTCCCGGGCACAATCTAGGTCCACCTCCAAATGGAACATACGTATAAGGGGGAGGTCCACCAGCTTCATACCTTGAAGGGTCGAATTTCTCTGGGTCTTTAAAATAGTCAGGGTTCGTGCTGGTTGAACTCACTGTCCAATAAACCTGCAGATATAGTGGAAAATAACTAAGTTCTTATGTAATGAACTAAGGGTATGAAACATATTTGCATTACATCATTAATTAGAGATGTTTATATACCTTCCACCCTTTTGGAATGGTGTATCCAGCATAGGTGAAGTCAGTTAGGACGTCCCTAAAAGTTCCTGAAGCGGAGGAACGAGTCGCATCGTCTCACAGATTACGTTCCAAGAGTATTTCATTTTCTGCATGTCTTCCCACTCTAATAATTCCCCAGGTTTTTTTGAGGCTGCAATCTCCATTTGCTCTGGAAAAACCAAGTACTAATCCATTAGGATGCAAAGATCAACTTTCATAACTTCAAAGATTATATCACAAAAATGAATTCAAAAATTCAGCAAAAGAAGGGGAAACTGAAAGGAGAGAAAAAGATTGGTACCCGCTCGGATCTTATTGTAGATGTGTGGTCTCTCTCCAACGTACTTCATGAGGAAAGTTATGGTCGTGGCGACTGTGCTGTACCCCGCAACTACCAAACCCATCATCTTATCCGCGATCTCCGCCTCCGGCATAAATCTTCCGGTTGGGTCAGTGACAACAATCATATGAGACATCACATCTTGCATCGGTGTTCCTTTTCCCATTGCAGCTTTTTTCTCCTTGATCACAGCTATAAGCTCCTTTCTAATTGCATCAGCAGCTTTTTGTGCTCTATAATATGTAGTACCAGGGAAGTTCAAAATAATGGAATGCATACCCAAAGTAACATTATCGAAATGCTCCACAAGCCTAGCAATTCTCTCTGGATTGTCAATGCCCAGAAAGAATCGACAAGAAAGCGTCAAAGTTATGATTTTTGATAGAGGAAAGGCCAAAACTTCATCTTTTCCTTCCCAGTGAATTTCCAACTGTTCCTGTGTCATGGAGTCCATTTTCCCCAAAAACCTCATCAAGGCTTCGGGCTTTAGGAACCCAGGTTGCCTTATTACCTTCGTCTCGTCACTGGTTGGAGGATTCGGGGCCGGAGTTGGAGCCGGAGCCGGAGCAGGCTGAGCAGAAGGTTTTGTTTGGTATGAACGAAAGAGCCTTTGCATGGGATGTGGACGGAAAGCAGTGAAGAGTTTTTGCTCATTGGCAAACAAAAACTTGTGGCCATTGGGGCCACATATCACAGCTGTTTTCTCTCCAAGTATGTTGGTCTTAAAGATATCAGGGGAATACTTTTTCATCCTTTCACCCACAAAATTTTCTGGCTTGCCAAACAGGAACTCAAGGGTTTCGCCCAAAATAGGCAATCCGAAGCTTCCCGGAGGCAGCTTGATGTCGGCTTCAGGCCGGCGTCGGAAAGCAAAGATGGTAAGAACAAGAGGGAGAAAAACAAGAGCCAAAGAGAGGGATAGGACAAGAACTTCCATGACTGATGTTTCTTCGGAGGGTGGGATATGGAAGCAATGAAGGCTGAGTTTGGCAGGCTTGGAATTGTGTGACTTATATAGAGAAAAATATATTCTACTCAGCAGTCTGAAGACTATTATTCTATGTTGTTGGTCCACCTTGTAGTTCTTATTCCAAAGCCCCCCAAAGTTGAATCATTCGGCATGGGATTTCTTTAAACAGGATTTTTTTTTTTAATAATGCTACACTAATTAAATTTTAAAATCAAATTAAGAGCTCAAATAACTTGATAACTGACTTGGACTTCTTTATTTGGTGTCATATCATTTGGACCTCTATAAAGATTTCAAATAATATGTTGTTATGTCATTTGGACTATTAATTTGATCAGTATAGCACTACTAGTTTTTTTAATTTTTTGGGAGGGGGGCAGTAAAAAAAATTAATGCTCTTGAATAGTCTAGATCTGGAAGAAGTCATAATTTACTGGAGAATTTTAAACCCCTCTAGTATTTGGATCCAAGAATATGATATAGGAATCTAATTTTGTGATCTAATTGGGATCTAATTTAATATAATTATTGAATTAATTATGAATTATAACGTTAGATAGAGTTCATTTTCAATCTAAAAGCCATTAAACATTGGTAGGACCTTAAAAGCCCACAAATAAAATTCACTGAATTTAATGATGGACGATTGAGATTAATTTAAGTTGACAAGAGTTAATACCAGCCCAAGCTGCCACTTAGTGACTTTAATTGAAATTTGTCTACTTCCTTATTGCATCTGGACTTCTATTGATATAGTAGGTTGGGTCCCTAGTAGGAGGACTCTGACATTAAATATTTGTCGCATGACTCCCACAAGTTTCATATTGGCGGCTAGCATCTACTCCAATTCAAACTTGATAGGGTCTCGGTTCTTAAATAATTCACGATAGATACTTTATCATAAAAAAAGTTTGACAGGAAATATAAATTCTTTAGAGGATCAGAACCTTTGAACATGCATGATTGCCAAGAGTCTCACATTGAAAATGGATAAAGTAATATTATTTGAACTTAATTTACTAATACAATTATTGAATTGATAGTGAATCTCAATATTTGTTGAGATCAGTAACCAATCCAATGATTTAGAAGAATTAGATTAGTAAATTATATCAATAAATTAGATCCAAATAGTAATATTGCATTAGATATCTACCTTGAAATCAACCATTATTTTTTTTTTCTCATTTTTATAACATCTAAAATGGCAAGTTTTACTATAGGGGGCATAGATTGATTTTTATCCTAGCATTCGTGTGATTGTAATTGGATGGTATTCATAAGGTGAATTTTGCACCAACTTCAGACAATCCAAACTCCTAAAATTGAAGATTTCATTCATAGTGATTTTGATTTGTCCACAAAAGTCAATATTATTTGATTAGAAGTCACTTCTATATTGGTTAAGATCTTTAGGGGGTTTGTGACTATAGTTTTATGGCATTGTTAAAATGGGAGGTGTAAATGGTTTCATTTGGAGGCAGATCTATGATAGAGATGCTGAATATAATTATAAGTAAAACTATGCGAAGACAAAGATAAAAATCCACAGAATTTGTCAAATTTGGAGAGAGAGAGAGAGAGAGAGATCTATTGTATAGCTAGAACCTAGTTGGTGATTGGTGAAGAATGTGACAGGGTTGGTAGCACCACTAATACGATTAGTTGTAAAGCAATTACTTCTCCACTAGTAAAAGCACAATACCCTCTTTTTAAAGTATTTTTTTAGTATCATTTATTTTAGTTTCTGGTTTTTACCTATGCAAGTTTGCTTATTTTTTAAACTTAGTCGCGCATCTTGTATTACATTAATGAACTAAATTTTGCATTTTCTAAAAGTAGTTTTCTTTTTGCTTAAAAAAAGTATTTAAAATGGAATAATCAAACGGCATAACCGATCTTGCAATAGCGTATCTAAGTGCAGAAGAGGGTGATCACCCTCACCATAAAAATTTTACTTTTTACGCAACTATATTAAACCAAAGCCTATGTTTTCTTATTACTGCATTAGATAAACCTCAAAATCAGATGGAGGGTGTGTGTCAATGACGTAAAGTTGAGGTCTGTAGCGAAATTATTGTGCCTGAATTTTCTAAGTCTAGTCAAAGAAAGAAAAAATAAAACACTCATTGCCAAGTGTGTTGAAAAACTGAAAACTCCCCACATCATGTTCACATTCAGCTTACCATGCAGAGTAAATCAGATATATTTACAAACAATTACTAATGACATTTCGCAATGGAAGACACTGAGGAGAGTAATATTTAAATTTATAATTTTGCCCAAACTAAACCCAGTACACCACTAAATTACTGGCGGGGCATTCCCGGGAAAGTTGAGGCTCTAAAATTAGGGGCAAACTAATCCAAATTCAACCTGAGTCCAACCTGAAAAAAACAAGATTTTGGTTAGAATTTTTAATACTTAGATTAGGCCTAGGCAAAAAAATTTCAAACCAAATTAAATTCAAGCAAGTCTCGGGTTGTCGGGTTTAACCTAAATATTAAAATGGAATTAAACCCGATTATTAAATCGGATTGAACCCGAATATACATAAATATATAAATATATTTAACTAAGGTTAGTATTTATTTTCACTCTGCAAATTTCAAACTTTTACTTCACTTCAAATCTTTATCCTTGCGCTTCTATCGCTCTTAGATCCCTCTCTCATTTATCACACGTTTCTCATCTGGTGTCAAACTCTCTGCCTCCCTCTCTCCCTTGTCTAAGTCTTGTCTTAGAATCTTAGTCTCCCTCTCTCACTCGTCGCTGGTCTCAGTCGTCTCAAACTCTCAACTTTCCTCTCTCACTCGTCACTCATCCCTCTTTTATCAACCCGAATTAAGTAAACCGAGCCTAACCCGATGTTTAAAGCCTATGTTTTCTTATTACTGCATTAGACAAACCTCAAAATCAGATGGAGGGTGTGTGTCAATGACGTAAAGTTGAGGTCTGTAGCGAAATTATTGTGCCTGAATTTTCTAAGTCTAGTCAAAGAAAGAAAAAATAAAACACTCATTGCCAAGTGTGTTGAAAAACTGAAAACTCCCCACATCATGTTCACATTCAGCTTACCATGCAGAGTAAATCAGATATATTTACAAACAATTACTAATGACATTTCGCAATGGAAGACACAGAGGAGAGTAATATTTAAATTTATAATTTTGCCCAAACTAAACCCAGTACACCACTAAATTACTGGCGGGGCATTCCCGGGAAAGTTGAGGCTCTAAAATTAGGGGCAAACTAATCCAAATTCAACCTGAGTCCAACCTGAAAAAAACAAGATTTTAGTTAGAATTTTTAATACTTAGATTAGGCCTAGGCAAAAAAAATTCAAACCAAATTAAATTCAAGCAAGTCTCGGGTTGTCGGGTTTAACCTAAATATTAAAATGGAATTAAACCCGATTATTAAATCGGATTGAACCCGAATATACATAAATATATAAATATATTTAACTAAGGTTAGTATTTATTTTCACTCTGCAAATTTCAAACTTTTACTTCACTTCAAATCTTTATCCTTGCGCTTCTATCACTATTAGATCCCTCTCTCATTTATCACACGTTTCTCATCTGGTGTCAAACTCTCTGCCTCCCTCTCTCCCTTGTCTAAGTCTTGTCTTAGAATCTTAGTCTCCCTCTCTCACTCGTCGCTGGTCTGAGTCGTCTCAAACTCTCAACCTTCCTCTCTCACTCGTCACTCTTCCCTCTTTTATCAACCCGAATTAAGTAAACCGAGCCTAACCCGATGTTTAAATCGAAATTAACCTAAATTAAGTAACTCGAATTTAATCTGAGCCCGCCCGAATTAAATTCGACTAGTACTTGAGTTGAGTACCTCAAGTTGAGGTAGGATTAGGGTTAGGGTGAGGATTGAAAATTATATACTTAAAATTAGACTAGAATTGACCTTTAAACCTGCTTAACTCACCCGAGTTGTACTCCTATCTAAAATAGTCACGCTCTCGAGTGATGCTAATTTATCACTCAGAGTAAATGGCTCCACACTCAACTAGTAAACCCCAGATTTATGGGTTGGTCGGTCAGCCCACTGATTCTGACTTGCGATTCGGGAAAAATTGGATTCGGCCAAAGTTCAAACTTATCTGCAAAAGATGCATGCACGGTCTTTAATTAGTCCCAGTAGTTCGCGGCCAAACAATGATGGATCCGGGGGATAAGCACTAGTGATTAGGTCATATCTTGCGCAGTTCATGTTTTATTAACATTTATTCTATTTATACTCAATTATTTTCATGTTATGTGTAAACAGTATTTACCTAGATTAATATCATCCTTATTTATTAAGTGGCTGTTGCGAGTCAAACAAGTTATGCTTGGTACTTATTAAAATCAAACTCATATTCAATAACTTTGTATTTATTTTCTATCGGATTCACCGGCCATGTTAAAAATTATAAGTCCTACTAAAAACTTTAAAGATCCATCATATTGTACTAATAGTAACTTTACATATTTAGACTTGTCTCCCAAGTATTTTCAAGAATTATAAAATGATCTCTCAGTATGCTTAAGCTAAATTCCTCAAGCCAAAGCAATATGGTTCTAGAAAATCAAACCATGTTGTAAAACTAAGAGAATATAAAATATAGAATTGTAAAGAGATAATAGAGTATACAAATGTTAAAGCAAAAAAACTTCTTTAAACATAATGACCATCAAATACAATAATAAAGCGGTATATTAATGGATAAGGGGTTATATGCTAATGCACTAACATCCACTAATTCCTATTTACTTGGGGTACTAATTAAAAAGTTAAGAGTCATCTATTTTATATACAATGTGTGTGTGTATATAAAACACTCTTCCTTGGATGACTATTATGCTAAGATAATATTCCTTGTTAAAACCTTGCTACAAAAACCAAGTGGAAAGAAACCAGTGAAAGAAAAGTAGTACATAATCAGATGAATTTTAGAATAGCGTTGGAAG